TGATTAAATATTTTACTTGCATGTCTGCATTGGAATGTTTTCCAGCATTCTTATACCTGGACCTCCCCCATACTCTTCTGTGTGTATGTCTTGTTTAGTTGCATAAACATGGCCCTTTTAATTTTCTTTGTGGTTTCTTAATAAGGAGGTTTAAGTGGTGAAGTATGAAGGACTGCATGGACTGGTATTTAAGCATTTTGCATTGCATTTTACACTTCTGTCTCCAAGTTAGACCTTTATGTTACTTGCCATGCATTCAGTTTGAAAGGATTTATTGTATCTGACTGCCATGTGCCCAATCTAGTGCTGCTTGGTGCCATTGGATACAGAGAACTATAGCAAGTGATGGCTACTTTTAAAGAAGTTAAACTTTTAAGTTTGGTACATAATACATGCTACAATATTACGTATATTTCTGACAGGATAAAACTTCCATTTTTTTCTGCACCTGTTGAGGATCATATGTTTTTTCTTTTATGATTGGTTAATATGGTGGATAATGTTAATTTTTAAACGTTAAACCAGTTCAACATTCCTGTGATAAATCCCACTTGGTCATGATATATTATGCTTATAACATTTTGATGGACTCAGTTTGCTAAAATTTTGTTTAGAATTTATCCATCTTTGTTCACAAGGGTTAGTGGTCTGTAGTTTTCTTTCTTTTTTATTATTTTTGCAACATCTTTATGTGGTTTTGGTAGGAGGGTGATGCTGGCCTCATAGAAAGAGTTAGAATATTTTTCTTTCTTGATATGGTTTGGCTGTGTCCCCACCCAAATCTCATCTTGAATTGTAACTTCTATAATTTTCACATATTGTGGGAGGGGCTCTATGGGAGGTAATTGAATCATGGGGGCGGGTCTTTCTCATGCTGTTCTTGTGATGGTTTATAAGTCTCACAAAATCTGGTAGTTTTATAAAGAGGAGTTCCCCTACACACACTCTCTCTCTTTTTGCCTGCTGCCATCCATGTAAGACATGACTTGCTACTCCTTGCCTCCACCATGATTGTGAGGTGTCCCCAGCCATGTGGAACTATGAGTCCATTAAACCACTTTTTTGGTTTTTTTTTTGTAAATTGCCCAGTCTCAGGTATGTCTTTATCAGCAGCATGAAAACAGACTAATACGTTTCTCTTCTATTTTCTGGAAGAGTTTGTATTGATTTGGCATTTTTCTTCCTTAAACGTTTGATAGAATTCACCAGTGAAGCTGTATGGGCCTGGATTTTCTTTGTGGAATATTTTTAACTTACATTCCAATTAATTCAATCAATATAGGGCTAGTTAGGTTATCTATTTCTTCTTGAGTGAACTTTGATAGTGTGTGTCTTTCTAGAAGGTTGTCTATTTTCTCTAAGTTGCTAAATATATTGCTATGAAAATTTTTGTATTTTTCCTACTCTTTTAAGATAGAAAAATGTTTTTAAAATTTAAATCTGATTATGCCTTAACCCTGCTCAATCTCTTTTAATGTTACTTAGATTAAAAGCCAAATTTCTCATCATGGCCCAAAAGGTATGACATGATCGTATTTCTTTTCCTCTTCAACCTTATCTCATACAAGATTTGATATCTCTCATTATGCTTTAACCACATTGATAGATTAGATGCAAAGGGAGGAACCAAGGATTATGGACTTTCTTCCATTTCTTCAAGAGCTAAGATCTTTATTTCTTGAGGACCTTTGAATTTGTTCTTCTCCCTCCTTAGTATTTACTCCGTTCCCTCAAATTTTCCCAAGATTTACTTCTTGCCATTTTGGAATTTCAGCTACATGTCACCTCCTGAGATCTTTTTTTTCATTCTAATCTCTTCCCTTCTCTATCATATGACCCTATTTATTTCTTTTATAGAAGTTTTCACACTCTTTAATTATCTCACCTATTTAGTTATGTGCTGTATATTCTCCCACTAGTATATAAATTCCAAAAAGGCCTTCATCTGTCTTTTGCCTGACATAGTGACTTTCATACAGTAAGTGCTCAATAAATAATTGACAGCTAAAAGGAGCTGTAATTCTGAATAGAATGAGTGAACATAAGTAATTGACGTCATCATTTACTCGATGATGATAAAATAGTGGATCAGAAAGCTTAAGAACTCAGGCTTAAACCCAGAGATAAGGAGAAAACTTTGTTTTATTTATTCTTCTTCATTTTAAAAAAAAAAATTTACTTTAAGTTCTGGGATACATGAACAGAATATACAGGTTTGTTACATAGGTATACATGTGCCATGGTGGTTTGCTGCACCTGTCAACCCATCATCTAGGTTTTAAGCCCCGCATGCATTAAGTATCCATTATCTAGTACTCACTGTTTTTTGTATATCCTGTCATTGTAACACATCTAAATCATGGGGCTATCTTCGGCATCTCCTTAATGTTACACCAGTTTTTAATTGTTGTAATAGCTATAGTTTTAATAGCTACCATTTATTCAGCCCCTAACATGTGCCAAGTTTTGTGCAAGTGGCTATCCATTCATTGTTTCTAATGAAAGTGCCAACTACTTTTTAGAGATACCGTAAGACTAACTAAAACAAGTAATGCAGAAGATCCTACACCAGATTAAATGATGTTTTTAAAAAATTCAGTATTGGGCCAGGCGCGGTGGCTCACACCTGTAATCCCAGCACTTTGGGAGGCCGAGGTGGGTGGATCACGAGGTCAAGACATCGAGACCATTCTGGTCAACATGGTGAAACCCCGTCTCTACTAAAAATACAAAAAATTAGCTGGGCATGGTGGCGTGTGCCTGTCATCCCAGCTGCTCAGGAGGCTGAGGCAGGAGAATTGCCTGAACCCAGGAGGCGGAGGTTGCGGTGAGCCGAGATCATGCCATTGCACTCCAGCCTGGGTAACAAGCGAAACTCTGTCTCAAAAAAAAAAAAAATTCAGTATTATGATTTTCTTTTGTATATACTTTCAGGCATCAAATATTTATTTAGCACCTACCATATATGTGATGTTGGGCAAGTTATTTAACCTCTCTGTACTCAGTTTCCTCATCCATAAAATGGAAGTAATAATAATACTATCTCATATGATAATTAAATAATATATGTAAAGCACCTAAACACTGCCTGGCATGTCATAAGTTATAGCAGCTAAAAATATTAATTATTATTATTTTCAAGCCATATGAAGAAATCTATGAGCAACATAAAACATGTGAATATGAGGTATAACACATTCCTAGAAGGTTATACTCTGTAATATAAAAAAATACAAACCTTTTATAAAGTAATACATTAATGAGATAAAATTTTAGTTAGAATCCCAAAGGGATTTTAAAAAATTGAAACTAGTGAAAATGGCCCTAAAGTTTATGAAACAGCCTAGAAAATGTAGAAAAAGAAGAATAAAGAGAAGGTATTTGCCCTACCGATTACTGAAACATTTTTTTAAAATGTAGTAATTAAGACAGTATGGTCCTAGCAGAGGAGAAAAAGAAAAATAAACTGAATTATTTGGTATTAGAATTAGCAAGTGAATGTAAAAAGGTAGTGTTGTTGGATCAGAAGATATTTCAAATCAATGCAGAAAGAATGGATTATATAATAAATGGTCTTGGAACAATTGTCCAGTCACTTGGCAAAAAGTTGGATTGCTATTTAGTATTTTATACTAAAAACTATTCTAAACTTATTGAAGACTTAAATGCATAAAACATGAAACAGTGCCAACCACAGCTGCCATCGATGTTACCTGTACTGGTATGCCCTTCCTTTCTTCTTTATCCCTTAGCTATACAGTGCCCAGTAAACTGACCAAAGAACATATTTCTTCATTTGAGGAAGTTTTCTTGCTATTTGACAAAGAGGCCGAAAGTACTGTCACAAAAAGGAGTTTGAAACTTAAGTCACTAGGTCAGAATATGACAGAAGCAAAATAATATGGATACTAAGGTCATTGTGTATTACCATTTTAGCTAGGCATTGTTGTACAGGTTTGAATACCTAGCATTTATTAGTACTTACTATGTTTCAGGCAGTGTAACAATGCTTTACATATATTGATTCACTTTGTCTTCATATGAGATAATACCATTAGTAGACATTTTCGACGAGGAAACCAAGGCACAGGGAGGTTAAATAATTTGGCCAAAGCCCACACATTTGGTAAATGGCAAAGCTAGGATTCCAACCCAGGCAGTCTGGCTTCCAGGGCCTATGCTCTTAACCACTTTGCTACACTGTTTATCTAGTAATTGGAAAAATATAAAAAAAAACAGAGAAGAAATTAGCAAAATTTGACAAGGATGGCAGTGGTTGTTTACATCAGTGCTCCAGAACCATGTCATGTAGTTACAGAGAGAAGATAGCCTAACAACATGAAGAAATAGATAAACTGATCAGAGAAATAGATATTGATGGAAATGCTTTGAAGACTTTATATAGATGATGATTACAAGATGAAAATCCCATTTCACTGTAATTTCCTCCTACAGATATATCAGATTGAATGTTTTTAAAAAGATCATTTATTTATTCTGTTTCTTTATAGCAAATTCATGTCAAAAATACCTTCTGTACACACATAAGAAAAATCTACATGTGCTTGTAGACATTTGTTTCCCCAAAAGATCAAGCTGTACACCTGTTTACAATTATAAGTACTGGTGATAAGTGGCAAGGAAACACTTAGTAGACTCTTTAAAGCTCTCCTGTACATGCTTCTTACACTATTTTGCTGACTTGTTTTTCTGGTTTTCATGCACCTTGTTAGCTGAGCATGACCAAATCTTGACGTGCCGTATATGCAGTATTACAGATTTTAGACTTTTTCCAGATGACTTTATCTGGAAGCCACTGAAGGGTGTTTAAATAGGGTACTGCTGTGATTTTAGTGGAAGTTTGAAGATATCTCTCCCTGCGTACTCTGAAGAATTCAGAGGAAAGTGTGAAGAGAAACAGACCCATCTTTTCTAGTCTTCATGACATCTTATGTATGTTTATTACTTGATTAATCTAATATCTATGTTTCTTTTATTAGGTAACCCAGGTTTTGCTGGCTTTTATGTGCCATTTGCAAAGGCTTTATACTCTTTGACAAACAGACGCTTTCCAGTTTGGATTATCAGTCATGCTGGGCATGTGCTGGCTCCAAAAGACAAGAAGATTCTTAAAACATCAGAGGGTATGTCCTTGTTAATACCTACTTTCCTTTACAGTGAGGGGAGGGTCATGTTTCTAGAAACCCTGCTAAGGTTAAGAGTTACACCAGTGGAAACCTCTGCTTGTGGCATTAGGCCCGTGGTGCCATATTTTGGTAAACTTAGGATTTTGGGGGACTTTTTAACTCTTGAGGTAATTTTTTGTAAGAATATGGGTAGATAAAACAACCTATGATTTGCCTTCTTTGTTTATCAATTAGTAATCAACTGTGTTTATTGATCGTGTATTAATTTTTCTAGGGTTGTACTAGGAGGAATGGTGGAGAAAAGTATTATAAACCAGCATTCCCCAATCTTTTTGGCACCTGGGACCAGTTTTGTGGAAGACAATTTTTCCACAAACCGGGACCAGGGAGATGGTTTTCCGGATGAAACTGTTTCACCTCAGATTATCAGGTGTGCAACCTAGCTCTTGCATGCACAGTTCATAACAGGGTACTCCTATGAGAATCTAATGCTGCCGCTGACCCGACAGGAGGCAGAGCTCAGCGGAAATGCTCACTCGCCCCTCACACACCTTCATCTGTGTGGCCGAGTTCCTAACAGGCCACAGACAGGGGTTAGGAACCCCTGTTATAAACCATGTTCTTTACTTTAAAGAAGCTTTCTCTCTCATGTTTAGAGAATGACTAAGTGATAAACTGTGGCCTGCTAATCATGTAGACACCTCAGGAGTAAACAAAGGAGAAAATACAGTGTGGGTTAGGAGAGACTTTGTGGAGTACGTATGTGCCTCAGTCAGTTTGCGCTGCTATAGCAAAATACCATAGACTAAGTAGCTTATAAAAATAGAAATTTATTTCTCATAATTTTTTGAGACTCGAGCTCCAAGATCAAGGCACTGGCAAATTCGACATCTGATGAAGACCTGCTTTCTGATTCACAGGTGGCATTCTTGCTGTCCTCTCATGGACAAGCTCTCTTGGGACTCTAGATGGCTTCACCCTTATGACCCCAACTAATCCTAATTACTTGCCAAGGCACCCCCTCCACCTCTTAATAGCATCACATTTGGGCATAGGGTTTCACCTATGGATTTGGGGGCCATATAAGCATTCAGACCATAACAGTTGGTTTTGACAATTGAATAAGATTTGGATTTAGGGTGTGGAGGTGGGTGCAGAGGTCCAGCAGACAGAAGGAGTAGCACAGAAGGGAGGAAGATTTAGTAGGGATGTTACTGCTAAGCAGGGCCAGTTTGAGAGGAACCCTGAAAGCTGGGGAGAGACCAGGACTCCATGCTGCAAGGCTTCTAAATGGAAGAAGTAATACCATGGAGATGCAAACTACCTCCTTTAAATTTGTGAGAATTCTAGCAGGTTCACAGTTCCAAAAAATAAAAAATGAGAAAAAAAGAGAAAAACATAACTTAAATATAACTTCATAAAACATAAACATAACTTTATAAAAGTACAGCACATCCAGGAGTTGTGGGACAGTTTCGAAAGGTATAACATGGAATGCTTGATAGGCATTACATTCAAGAGTGTTTTGTTCTAAGGGGTTTCCTTTAGTTAATTTGAGATAAGATCGAGGTGGCTGTGACTTCATCGCCTAGTTTGCTTCTGGTTCTTGTGTGTCTCTCTGGTGATATGAGCATCTTTTTGTGTTTATTGAGCTTCTAAGTTTTAAAGATATTATACGATAAAGTTACATTTTACATCTGTAGTCTTCATTATTATATATGCATGATTCTTTTAGACGTTGATGTACAAGTTCCAACATATAAAAGCCTGTGCTCTGTGAATTATCTCAAGTGATATTGAAGGCTGATTTGATTATATTTAATTGTATTTTCTGACTTCAGTCTCTGAGCCTCATATTAAATACAATTTTTTGTCTCTTTTAAAATTTGAATATGGTGGCAATACATACAATTGCATATGTGAACTCTTCTGAAAACCTGAAAAAGATTAGTTTACTAATCTGTTATAAATTTGGGTAAATGTTGCATGTCATATAAACAGTATCAATTTATATAGTTTTATCTAATTGTTAATTTTGCATTTTGCAGCCAACCATTTAGCTGCAAGGAAGTATATTGTATAATTTCAAAATGAAATACCTTCCTTTATTGTATTATATTAGAAAGTTATATGTTCTTATTTAAAAAATTAGACAGTATGGAAAACTGAATAAGAAAATAAAAAATCAGTATCCCATAAGTTAAAGGTTGAAAAGGAATACTAAAACTTCGTCATGTTTTGTTTCAATTATGCTTAAACATTTCAACCTGAAACCTAAAAAACATTAGGACCTCGGCACTAAGAGGTGAGATTTTCCAATGACATTAATACTTTGTGTAATAGCTTGGGTATTTTCTAGGCTGCAGTAAGTATCTAGGAAGAGTCACCAGGGACCATGTTTTTAGTTCTTTTACCCTATGACAATATCATGATGAAGTGTGTATCTTAAACCTTAGTGAAATAGTTACATTTAGATTTTTAGGGTATTTTTTTTCAGCATTTATTTGCTTCTTACTACCTATTCAAAACTTATAGTTGGCATCTGTTATATATTAAGAAAATATTTAGTATAGAATTTTAAAAAAATAAATAGTGGACTTCCAGTTTCAGCTCTGACACCTAGAACTTGGAATTTGTCACCCTTCTTGCAATAAGAGAAAAGCTGAGGCTGAATGCGGTGGCTCATGCCTGTAATCCCAGCACTTTGGGAGGCCAAGGTGGGCGGATCACATGAGGCCAAGAATTTGAGACCAGCCTGGCCAGCAAGGCAAAACTGCACCCTTACTAAAACTACCAAAATTAGCCAGGCATGGTGGCACTTGCCTGTAATCCTAGCTACTTGGTATACCAAGGCACAAGAATTGCTTGAACCTGGGAGGTGGAGGTTGCAGTGAGCCAAGATTGTGTCACTGTACTTGAGACTCTGTCTCAAAAAAAAAGAAAAAAAGAAAGAAAATTAAAAAAAAAAAGCTGAACAAAACTAAAAATAATTTTTCTTAGACCTTTCAGAGAATTGAGGTCACAGGACAAATTGTCACCTGAAATCTGGAGAGACAAGGAAATACAATGAAAATCAGCTTATCTGAAGCAGGAGACACTAGTGCCATTTATGTAGAATACATAAATGGTGATTTAGATGAATTGCTGAGGGCAAAGTACAGACTATTTTAAGAGTAACAAACTTCTGCAAGCCTATTCTTGGGGGACTTCCTTACTTCCATGGGTATTACCTCTAGGAAGCTTATCAGGTTCTTTTGTGAAAATTTGAGAAATGTCCCCTATGGTTTTTGTTAGGGATAAAAGAGTAGTAAGCATTTTGCAATATGTCCAAAGTATTCTCAATAACATGGCTTACTTTACAAGGGAAAAAGAGTTCCAGAGCTTTATCCAACCTAGGAGAAGGACAGTTAGCCAACTCCATCTTCCTCAGGCCTTCCTGTCTCACATGCTGGAGGGTAAAAAAAAGATGATGAACACTTTTGAAGATCACAGCACAAGCATTCAGGCCCACTGAAAAACTGAGGTTTAATCATTACGTTATAGGATGCTTCTCTCCTCATTTTACCACATGTATGTCAACAGGAGGAGCTGCAAGACACAAACTCTATTTAAGAAGGAATTCTTAGGGAAAACCAAAGACAACAGAGAAAAAAAAAACAAGAATATTAGAGGAAACTGAAGTTTCTGATACCTGTAGCTGCAACAAACATTAAGTATAGCCCTGGCTGGGTGCAGTGGCTCAAGCCGGTAATCCCAGCACTTTGGGAGGCTGAGGTGTGCAGGTCACTTGAGGTTAGGAGTGTGAGACCAGCCTAGCCAACATGATGAAACCCTGACTCCACTAAAAATACAAAAATTAGCCAGGCATGGTGGTACACGCCTGTACTCCCAGTTACTCAGGAGATTGAGGCGGGAGAATTGCTTGAACCTGGGAGGCAGAGGTTGCAGTGAGCCGAGATCGTGCCACTGCACTCCAGCCTGGAGTGACACCCTGTCTTTAAAAAAAAAAAGAAAGAAAGGAAGAAAGCATAGCCCAGCTTCTAGCCACATTAACATAATTGACACATAGCTATTTACCTCATTCCTACTACTCAATACATCACGTCCAGCTTTAAGCAAAAAATAAAATTAGACGGCCTTGTAAAAGGTAAGAAAAACACAGTCTGAAGAGACAAAGCAAGCATCAGAAATAGAGTCAACTATATACTTATTACTAATTTTAGAATTATCAGATCAGGAATTTAAAGTAACTATGATGACTACGTTGAGGACTCTAATGGAAGAAGTAGCATGCAAGAACAGAAGGGTAATGCAAGCAGAAAGTAGGGAACTCTTAAGAAAGACTCAAAAAGAAATATTAGAAAACACCATAACAAAAATGAAAAATGCCTTTGATGGACTCACCAGCAGGCTGGATGCAGCTGAGCACAGAATCAGTGGGTTGAAGAAATAGGTTAATAGAAACTTTCCTAACTGAAATGCAAAGAGAAAAAACAGTAATTTATAAAAGTATAGCATATCCAACAGTTGTGGGACAATTTCAAAAGGTGTAACGTATGCATAATTGGAATACCAGATCAAGAAAAAAGAGAAAATGGAGCAGATATAGTTGAAGTACTTAATGCCGGATGACAAAACACAGGTCTAGGAATCTCAGAATTTACCCTGCACTCTAGCAGGGTAAATGCTAAGGATCCACACCTACATGTGTCATATTTAAGTTGCAGAAAACCAAAGACAAATCTTGAAAGTAGGCAGTGGAAAAAGTACCTTACCTATGAAAGAACAAAGATGAGAATTACAGGGAACTTCTTTTCAGAAACCATTCAACAAAGAGGAGAATGGAGTAAAATATTCAGTGTCAAATGAAAAATACCACCAACCTGGATTCCTCTCTCTAGTGAAATTATCCTTCAAAAGTAAAGGAGAAATAAAGACTTTTTCAGACCAGCAGCAGCTGAGGAAATTTGTTGCTGGAGTCCTGCCATGCAAGAAAC